ATCTGCCGCTTTCTAGTGCTTTGGATTCCTTCTTTACCCAGTCACCAGGGACGAGGCCCCATGGTGGGCACACGGCCCCAGATACCAGAACATTTCTTTTATCAGCCGGGCGTCGCCTGGCAGTCCTTCCCGCTCTGACATCTTCGTCGCCGTCACCGAGCGCGCTCCTCGAAGAAGATGTCAACGCCTACCTTCACCACCCCATTCGCCGCCTGGGGGTGCGTTGGATGTGGTGGTGGAAGGCGAGGAGGGGGGAACTTACGCGGTTGGAGTTGTATTCTATCCACATGGAGTTTTTGGCTGGATTGGTTATGAGCTGCCCGGCTACTGTGGGCACGATGTCGGTGGGGGGGATGTGTCGGAGGCCGGGGCCGAGGCGGAGGGGGTTCTTGGGATGCGAGGGGATTAGCGAGGGGTCAATTGTCTCCCCTGGGAGGACTATCGGGTAACCGGTCGCCATGGTTGGTGGTGGCTTTGTTGGGGTTGTTTGTCGTGGGTTTGGTAGTCAAGGTGGTGGTGATGTTTTGGTGTAGATCGTTTTGATTGTTCTAGATTTGGAGATAGCCTTGTTTGCTCTGCAGATAGATGGCAGTTTGGCAGCCTTGGTGGGGCTGTCGGGACCTGCCAAGCCCAGCAGTCCTGACGGTCAAATACATCTTGTCGGAAGCAGTTGGGCTGCAAAATAGCATGTGGATGGTGTAATTTCGAGTAATTTCATGCTCTGGTATCATCCAATTTTTGGTTTGGCACTCAAAGAACATCAGCGGGGCAGCTCCGCCCGATTGCAGGGATTTAAATTTTAGGTCAACCAGGAATTTTTTGGAACCCCCACCACGAAGACGGCGAAGTTTTGGTGAGAGACGAAGTTACAGCCCTCCTTCACTCCGACTTCACTCACCTCCTTTACTCCCCTCCTTCACTCACCAACCCCGACTTTCCAAACGTACCTCCTTACCCGCCATCAATAATGAGCGACACTGGGGCTAAGCCTGGCCCGGAGCCAAGCGAGCGCACTGTCATCGGCATCACCTTTGGCAACTCCAACAGCTCCATCGCCTACCTGGTTGACGACAAGGCCGAGGTTATTGCGAACGAGGATGGAGGTGAGGGGATTCTGATATGGTGCCAGCCTGGTGATCGCACGCATGACCACTAACTCCCTACTCTCTTAGATCGCCAGATCCCCACCATTCTGTCGTACGTCGACGGCGAAGAGTACTACGGCCAGCAGGCCAAGAACTTCCTCGTGAGGAACTCCGAGAACACAGTCGCCTACTTCCGTGACTTCCTCGGGCAAGAGTTCAAGTCGATCGACCCAACCCACAACCACGCCTCGGCCCACCCCCAAGAATCCGGCGAGACCGTCTCCTTCACGATCAAGGACAAGGCTGGCGAGGAGGAGCCTGCTTCGACCCTGTCCATTTCTGAGATTGCCACCCGCTACATCCGCCGCCTGGTGGGCTCTGCCTCGGAGTACCTCGGGAAAAAGGTCACGTCGGCCGTCATCACCGTCCCCACCAACTTCAACGACAAGCAAAAGGCCGCCCTTATCGCTGCCGCCGCCGCCGCCGACCTTGAGGTCCTCCAGCTCATCAGCGAACCCATCGCTGCCGCTCTTGCCTACGACGCGCGCCCCGAAGCCAAGGTTCAGGACAAGATTGCTGTGATTGCGGACCTGGGCGGCACGCGGTCGGATGTCGCCATCGTGGCGAGCCGCGGTGGTATGTACACCGTCCTGGCCACGGTCCACGACTACGAGTTTGCTGGTGTTGCGCTCGACAAGGTGCTCATGGACCACTTCGCCAAGGAGTTCCTGAAGAAGAACTCGGGCGCCAAAGACCCGCGCGAGAACGCCAGGAGTCTGGCCAAGCTGAGGCTCGAGTCCGAATCCACCAAGCGCGCGCTCAGCCTGGGCGCCAACGCCAGCTTCAGCGTCGAGAGTCTGTCAGACGGCATCGACTTCGCGAGCACCATCAACCGTCTGCGCTACGAAACCATCGCGAGGACCGTGTTTGAGGGTATCAACCGGCTGGTGGAGTCGGCGGTTAAGAAGGCCGGCCTGGACGTGCTGGACGTGGACGAGGTGATCCTGTCCGGCGGCACTTCGCACACCCCGCGCATCGCTTCCAACCTCAGCAACATCTTCCCCCAGACCACAAGGATATTGTCGCCTTCGACCGAGGTGACGGCGCTCAACCCCTCCGAGGCCGAGGCCCGTGGCGCCGCCCTGCAGGCGAGCCTGATCCAGGATTACGAGGCCGAAGACATCGAGCAGTCGACCCACGCTGCCGTTACCACGGTACCGCACGTCTCCAACGCCATCGGTGTCATCTCAGTGAACGAGGCCGGCGAGGAAGTGTTCGTCCCCATCGTTCCCCCTGAGACGGCCGTCCCGGCGCGCCGCACGGTGCACGTGTCCGCCCCCAACGGCGGCGACGTCCTGGTCAAGGTTGTCGAGGGCAACACGCATATCAAGGTGACCCAGCCCGAGCCTAAGGCCAAGGAGAACGGCGAGTCTAAGGCTGCCAAGGTCGAGGATGCTGACGACAGCGACGAGGAGGACAGCGACTTCTCGGAGGATGAGGAGGAGGAGGAGGAGAAGCGGGAGAAGGTCTGGAAGATCGGGTCCACCCTCGCCGAGGCGGGTGTGAAGGGTGTCAAGAAGGGTGGCAAGGTGGAGGTCTCGATCACTGTGAACTCGGATCTGTCGGTTATCGTAACAGCGCGAGAGGTTGGCGGCAAGGGCGGCGTCCGCGGGACACTGACGAGTGCCTAGGCGGCATCCTTTGGGCAAGGTCGCTGCCACAGCAGCATGTCGGCACATAGACTACGATGAGAGCGCACTGCAACCCCCGCCTGGCCGGGGATGCGTGGGCCATGATGGGCATTATTACGGCTAGTTAATTCGCCTTCTCTGATAGATACTCTACATACACGGCTGATTCCCGCAGTTATCATTGGTATGTCATGCTACATACGTCCCCGCCCCTTTCTACGTAGGCAGGCGTGGCATTTGCCGGCCTACACTTGGTGTCAGATTCTCCCTTCACGGTTAGCCACGTTGCGATTCGGGTTGGGGGGCAACGTCAAGTTCATGAGCATATCTGAAGAGGGAGCTGGCCACAAAGAGGGAGATGATCCCTTTTATGCCCATTGCCAGATTCTTCCTTCAAAGGTAAGTCACGTTCCAGATCAGTTTGGGAAACAAATATAAGTTCATATGTATATTTTAGAGGAGTCAGCTGAGGAGAGGCGGAGGATCACTCCGCATTTTCTCTTCTTCGTATCTTTGCCTCTTTTCCTTCTTCACTCATCATATCCTGGCCTTAGGTCCCCTAATTTAAAGGCGCGAGGGACTTGAATACCGGCATCCCATTTGTGTCTTGGATTGGCGATGCACTCATCGCACCGGTTTGGAATCACAGCATCAAAGTTGCCGTGAATGTGTGAGTTGTGCAGCACCGGCGGCATCTCTTCCATCCACCCGTCGTCGAGGTAGGAGTAATAGTTACCCCAATGACTGCAGTAATACTGGCTCGCCTGCGGGTCTTCGAGGCTCCGCGGCATGCGGTGGGCGGCGATGTGGCACTCGCAGCGCGGATGGCACAGTTCGACGCGGCAGACCGGACAATGGAGAGGTGGGTAGGCCCCCCGTCGCTCAAGCGCTTCGGCGTCCGCTTCGGCTTCCTTGTTGTGTAACTCCACCACCCGCTCCCAACAAGGTCGGCAGACCATGTGCCCGCAGATGAGCACCGCGCCACGCTCAAGATCCGGCATATCCTCGCGGTCTTTGGCGTCGCGGGGTATGTAGATAGGCACAAAGCGGAGAGAGAGCTGTGCGTCGGCGCAGAGGGCGCACCGGGCGAAGGGCGGCTTGATGCCATAGAAGTAACCGTCCATCGCCAACTTCAACTCTTGGAAGCGTTCCGCTTCCTCCCGCTTCTCGCCGAACCACGTCGCATACTCTGGCGCACCCCTTGGCCTGTGAGGCTCATCGCCGGCAACCGTGCACCGGCGCCGCACATCCCTCGTGTAGTCGTCCATGGGCTCCCAGTAATCCAACCGCGAGGGTGGAAATTCCAGCTCTCGTTCTCTCCTCTCAAATTCGCTTTCTTCTGGTTCTTCGCCCCTCGCATCTTCGTCTTCTTCTTCGTCCTCCTCCTCCTCCACCTCCTCCTCATCATCATCACCACCCCCCACCGCACCATCCTTCTTCTTCTCCTCCTCCTTTTTCTCTTCCTCCTTTTGCTCTTCCCTCCTTCCCGCCCCC